CAAAACTATGTGACGTTGGACATGTCATTTTGCCCCTTTGAAAGGCAAGTGGCTCCTGTGAAGGAGCAATAATGAAACTTTTCAGGGTGTTGGTGAGAAGTTACCAGACAGGGGAAGTCACCTTAGCCACGTCGCTGGCACACAATCTGAGCGCAGGCAGTGGTCGCTAAGATGAAGCAGAGCCTAGGGTCCTTCACCATAACTGAGCTGGTTGATTGCACTGCACTGACGGTCTCTTCCAGACCTGACGGTCTCATCACCACCTCCTCAGTGGTGCCTTCTGGTTTCCGTGGTCAGGACATCCCTTTCACCTGAAATGGACTCCGAGGTCCTCAGTGAGGACCTCAGTGAGCACAAATTATCCGTGTGCTATGTGTGTGCTCATCTGTAGAAAACAAATCTTAAGTTTCAACATGTCCAGGCTGCTCACTTCCAGGCTGCTTACCCTAAGAGCTCTGCCTATGGATTGGATGCTTAGATCTGGGAAATTTAGCTGGTAGACCCTGGCTCCTATGACTGCTTCCTGGAGCTGCCCAGTGCCACCAACCAACCTTCTAGCCCTTGCCCATGACCAGCTTCCCTCAATTGCCAGGGACTCAGACCCAGTAGTCAGGCCACACTGGTGTGCATGGAGAAAGGTGGCTTCTCTCCTGTCCACTTCCTCAGAAGATATTTGGTGGGGTTGTGGGGGGTGGAAGGGAGCACACTCATGTGCCTGTAAGTCCTTACTATTCCTTATGCAGCAGTGGTTGGCAGGCGCACGGATTCATGTGACCCTTGCAATAATCATGCAGGCCACCAAGCATTGAAGACTCCCAGTGCAGGAATCAGGGAGCGAAAGCAGGTTCTTGGCTCCCAGGTGGGAGGCATCACCACTCATAGAAGTTCTGCATGCAGATACCTAAAAGCAGGCTCACAGCAAGGCTAGGTCTACCTTTTCGCATCACACATTTATATAAACTAAATATTACATTCCTTCTGTATCATAGATAACCACAATTTTAATTTGGACTGATCTGCAAACCACAGTTCCTAACAGCTTTATATTCATTTGTTCTAGAGAGTTAATGGTATATAAATAATACAAAGGTAATTGAAGGAAGAATGTGGTAAATTGTTTTCTTTTGTGGAGAAATAAACATACCTTTGTTAGTGAATAAGCCCCCACTGTTTTTTCTAATTTCTATTTTTAGATTTTTCAAGATGTGTCTTGTATTTATTATTCATAGATTAGTGTTTTTTAAAAGATAGAATGAGTGACCCTTTTGAAATTCTTTGTCATCTATTCGTTTTGCCTGTATTCAAATGGACTGCTCACTGCCACTACTTTAAGTAATGACAACAGCAGTAACATCCTACACATTTCAGTGTCCTTCGGTTTAAGTCGCACTTACACATCCAGTGTGTATTTTAACCTCATAATAACCATGAGTCCTAAGCAGCATCCATCACTATTTCACAGATAAGAGACCTGAGGCTCAGTGGGATTAAGGAACTCACTCAAAGTCCTGCAGACAGTGAAGTGGTGACATGTGTTGGTCCCTGTCCACTGCTGGGGAAAGAACCAGGCTGGCATGCCTTCTTGGCTTCCTAGCATCAAGGTCGTCTGAAGACAACGAGTGCACATTTACCAATAGTCCGTGACCCCTAGAATGACCTCAGAGGTGCAGAGCAAACTGCACCTGCACCTCACCCTCTTCCCGTTAAATAAGGACTGTAGGCCAAGCCCCACAAGTAACTCCCTACTCAATAGCTTTCACCTTGGCACACCCTTGGTGGTATTCCTTTTGTCCCTCAGTATGCTTAGAACACCATGTCATCATCTCTTAATCTGGCCTTCCTGCCTGGGAGGGAGAGGTGCTTTGATCCACAGAGGTGGAAATAGTCAAAAGCAGACCAACCCTCATGGAGACGAGCACAGGCAGGTTTGTGGGGTTTGCAGGGAGATGGGCACAGATCCTGTGTGCACTGACTAATGCTGCAATGGAGCTTTTCCATCTGGTCTGGGGAACCAAATTATCCCACTCTGTCCCTATGAACACAAGGATGAAGCCCAGTACCTCCAGCGGGGTGGGCAAAGGTCCAATCATGGTGTGGGGACACTTCCCTGGCCCTCATGGTTTCAGAGAAAAGCTGTGTTCTCTAGAAGAATGGACACGGCTTCCCCCAAGTCCTCACACATTCACTACAAACCAGCCTTGTTTCAAAGCGGGACACTATCAAGAAAGAATGGGTAAGCAAACAGATAAGTCATGATGAGGATAACAGAGGAAAATAAATGCTGTTAAAATTGCCCTAACAAAAGACAGCTGGGGGCAGGCTAGGATGTTAAAGAGAGATCTCATCTGGTTGGGATAATCTGAAATACGTCATGGCATCAGTGGTGTTTTAGTTGTCGTTATCAGAGGGAGCAGGTGGGAAAAGGGTCCTCAGGGGGGAAAAAGGCAGCATGAGCTGGGGCTCTGTACAAATGGCAGGTCCATACTTTTGACCAGAGATGATGATAGAAAGAGGGCATAGTGGGAAATGTACATTCCCTTTACATTTAAGCCAACAAACCTTTGATCCCACCCAAACTTTGTGAAGGAGGAAAAGGAAAAACTCTCCGTCCCCCCACTGCTCTTGCCATGATATTCCTTTTTTTCCCAAGACAGTAAGGAGGTTGGACCCTTCCAGGCTGCTTGCCCTAGGAGCTCTGCCTATGGATTGGATGCTTAGATCTGGGAAATTTCAGGCTCACTTCCAAATGGCAGCTTCCAGCTTTCCTGGCCAAACCAATAAGGCCAATGATACTAATAATAATGTTAGTCACTGCTCCCTGCCTGGATGGGGACTCAGAGAAACAGCAGGCCAACACAACCTGTCAGGTTGGGGATTAGGCTCAGAATGTCTAATAGATATTCACTAAGTCATTGGAAACTGTCGACAAGGATGTGTCTGGTATCTGCCTAATCCTTCCTGATATTTACAGGGCTGAACTTGAGTATCTGGGCTTCTGGGATGGTCTGACCAGGGCCCAGGTAGGGTAGACTTGGTAGAGGAGGCTCCAATGGGGCACCAAGAACATAAGAAGGCCCGGAACTGTCCCCTGTTCCCTTTCTATCTGAGACCCATGTCTGCGCCCCGTCCTTCAGTCAGGATGTGCAGGCCATGAGCAGACAGGTAAATTCTCTCATTAGCCAAAGAACTCCAGGCATAGCTCTTTGGCTTTCAGACTTGATTTTGTTCTTTTCTAAGTGTGAAACTCAGGATTATGGAATTTTCCCACCTCAGGTTTTTCAGGGGAGACTTGAATGATTGCCCTCTAACCCCTCCTCCATGCCAGACCCCTGTTCCACATGACCGTTCTGTGTGCCTGCATGTCTGGTGAGCAGCCGATTTTATTTAACATTTTACAAAAATTCTGTCTTCCATTATTAGAAAAGTATTTTTGGTGTGCATGTCCTGTTCTCCTGATGAGACTGATTTCTAGAAAGCACAGTTATTCTTTATTGGTAGCCTACCCCATGTAGCAAATACCAGCTGTTAGATATTAACAGAAATAAATCAAGTAGAGGTCAGCAATGAATTTCCCAGTAAGTGGGTAAAAAGAAATCAAAGTGCAAAAATGAGTTTGTTTCTTCGAGATATTCCTGTTCACTCCACAGCAGAGTGAGCAAAAAGAGTCTGATTCAACTTCTGACAGGGTCCCTGGCCTCCATCTACTAAAGTCACTATTTGTAACAGCTCAATGCAAACTTTACAAACACAGATTTACACAGTCAGTTGGAGACTGCCAGTCCCAATCTCCCTCACCTCATCTCCCTTAGCTGCAACCACTCTCTCCAGTGAATCTCCCTCTGCCCAATACACACACACACCTCTACCTGCTTCTGTGGAGCTACAACTATGTACAGCCCCAAGCATGTGGAAAGACACAGGCTTTGGAGGCAGGTAAACCTAAGTTCAAGTTCAGATCTTATCCTTTTCTAGGTGTGTGGCCTTGGGTAGTTTACATAACCTCTCTATCTCAGTTTCTTTATCTGTAAATTGGATGTAATGATACCTACCTCACAGTCAAAGAACCTGGCTTCCCTAACTTACTTTCCCTTAGTCTCCAAACTTTTCTAGAAGTTCTAAGCTCATAACTCACAGCCGATGGTCCAGCCCCATCCCCTCTCCATCATGTGGCTACTTCCCTGAGGATTTCTCAGTGTCCTCCTTACAGACTGTCCACTCCTCAGGACTGTCATGAGCCTCCAACAAAAGGAGATGGTATCGAAAGTCAAATGATAATTAATGTCACTGTTACCCTCTGGGGGACTTTCTCAGGGACCGCCCAACAGCAGACTCTGTGAAACAAAGCTTGTTCAACTCTGTGTCCCTCGGGCCTTAGCCCTCTGTCTGAAATGAAGCAAGATCTCCACAAATATTTGCTAGTTAACCAATTCAGTTTCCTGTCTTTGCAATGAAGGGTTGCACAGACTCATCTTAAGCTTCTACCAGCTGTAAAAAGTTATCTACCCATAGGAAGGGTATCTACCCATGTTGAGGGAGGAGGAAGTATTAACCTTCTTTTTTTAAATCAAATATGAGACCCAACTACAGAGAAATAAGATTGGATCCTTTGCCGTCTCATAAACTGGGTGTAAAAGGAAATTCCAAAACAAGAATTCCAAGAATGTATTAAGTAATGACAACACCACCAGAAAAACATGTATAGCCTCCCAAAGCAACTGCTTCGAAAAGGGTAACCCTCAACAGATGAGTAAGTTCTCCAATATTAGTGTGTAAAACAAACAAAACGCCCCATGACTCTGCAGTCACATAGAGACAAAGCCCGGTCACAGGGAGCCCCACCTGCTGAGCACCACTGAGCCCATCACAAGGGACGGAGCCACCTGTCATGAGTAGACAGACCCAAGGAAAGAAGAGGACAGAGAAAGGACTCTACATGTGGTACGAAAGGCCAGATAACTGGACCAACACAGCTACGAGTCAACAGGTAAAACAGCAGGGAGGTGGGGCTCCACTGAGCCTGGGGTGCATCAAGCCTTTCCATGGGGCGGGACGTCTTGTCCAAAGGCTAGCACTAGCCTCGGTTAAATCCCCTATAAAAGGCTCCTGCCCTGCTGACCTGGCACTGCACACCCCGCTTAGCAGCCACTTGCCTCATCCTGCCTGTGCATTAGGTAAGTTCCCTCCTGAGGAACCTCTTTCTCACTCTCAGAGTCTTGGTGATCTGTGCTCATAAAACCAGGGCTGTGGGTGGAAAGTGTGTGCTCCGACTAGGCCTCAGGCAGACCAACGCACTTGGAAAAGGGCACACTCCTCCCCTGCACTGGCAGGGCAACGGACCACCCACAGGCCTTCCTGGATCAGCCAAGGAAATTTCTTGGCAATGCTCAGGATTTGTGAGACTAGAATTAGGTAACTTCTGCCAACACAGACAATGGGGTTGAACCTTCTCAGGGAGCAAGAGGCAATATTGAGGCAAGATGAGTTTGTGAATCTATTCTAAGGGGTCTGAAGTGTAATTAAAATGTCTTATTTTTACTGCTAAGATGTCAGTGATTAAGGTCTGCCACATGGTTAAAAACAAAATAAAAAACAATAACAGGATCTCTTCATGTCTTTGTTGAGGTAAAATATTCCTTTCATACACACATATATATGTATTTTTAGATTTTAATCATTTATTTTTAGAGACAGGGGAAGGGAGGGAGAAAGGGAGAGACAGAAACACTGATATGAGAAACATCAGTCAGTTGCCTCTCATAAATGCCCTGACCAGGGACTGAACCCCAAACCCAGGCATGTGCCCAGGGCTTTCACTTTGCAGACCAACACCTGGCCAACTGAGCCACACCAGCCAGGGCTGAGGTGCACTATTCTGGTTTTGATGTATAAGGAAAGTAAAGTCTGCTCGAAATTTCTGGCTCCTGGATGTAGATAGGACACTTCCTAAAGAGCCACCAGGTCTGCTTCCTTCCTTCACTCTCCTGCTTCTCCAGCCAGGCCCTCCTCTTCCTGTGTCCTCTCCTTTCCAATGCCATGGAGCCCCCCCCCCCCCCGTACTCCCTCAGCCTTCCATTCTCTCCCTGCATTTGAAAGCTGCCATCTCGGACACCATCTCTTCCCTATGTTCTCCCTGAGGCTTCTGAACCTCCAGGTCTCTTTGCCTCTTGCTCATCCAGACACACCCAGGACTCACTTCAATTTGTACTCAGTACCCTGGCTGATAAGAAAAAAATAAAATCACTCCTTTCCATTGAGAACCCTTCCTCACAGGTCACCAGGGTTCCAAGCTTGGAGGAACCATATACCTTGGGTCCTAATGCTGAGGACAATGCTCACATTCAGAGAAACCTGGTCTCTCCGACCTGGTAGACCTCTCACCCAGGCAGAATGCCCCTTTCCTCATTGGTCTCAATAGGTGGTGGCGCAGCCTCTTCCTAAACACCTTCCTAAAAGGCAGCAAGGAGGGGTAAAGTTGGGCCCCTGGGTTCCAGCTTGGCCCCCACCTGAAGCAAGAGTTGACTCACACAGGTACTTATCCTGCCCGTTGGTGTTCCCAGCAGGACTCTAACATGGAGTAGCAGGAAAATATAGACTGGATAGACAGCCCTTAGGGCAGAGTCAAAAAAACCATTGTATTTGGATTCAGGAGATATAGGTTCTAGGAGTGCTTGTTCCCTTACAAGCTGTATGCCTGGGGCAAATCACCTAAGTCTGAGTCTGCTCCCTCACCTATAAAAAGGTGGAGATAATAATGATTATAAGAGATGATGCATATGAAAGTGATTTGTGAACAGTAGAGTATATATAGATGTATGCATGTGTATGTGTATATACGTGAATATATGTGTATAATATCATAATGATATTTAATAGCATTTTGTATAAGCCAATGAATTACCTCTTTTAATCTTCAGAATAATCCTCTAAAGTAAATACTAGTATTGCCTTCACTTCACAATGAGTAAATTGAAGCCTGGAGAGACAAAACAACCTGCCCTCACCCACTCACCTGATGGGTAGGTGGCAGGCTGACTCGGGAGCCTGCCTCAGATCACAATGTGCCCCACTGTCCCCTCCATAAATACATTATGAAGGAAGAAGGAAGAAAACAGAGAGATCAGAAGCAGAGCTGAAATGTAGGAAATGGACTTAGAAGCAGGAGTACCCCCGAGGAGTAACCCCCCTGAGGTTGATTATGGAGCCCCCTGGGGGGCTTTTCTTCTTTCTCCAGCTGGACTCCCAAGATGCCTCAGTTACTGCGAAACATTAACGGGATCATTGACGCCTTTCAACGCTATGCCAGGACGGAGGGCAACTGCTCAGTGCTCACCCGGGGAGAGCTGAAAAGGCTCCTGGAGCAAGAGTTTGCTGATGTCATTGTGGTATGGTGTGCTCAGCCAGGTCGGGAGGAGGCAAAGAGGGGAGAGAAACAGTCTGCCAGCAGACCAGCTTTGCCTCAGGGATCCGAGAAGGCAGCCGCTAGATCCAGGCCTGCAGGTCCTCCTGGAGCCTGTGCAGGCAGGAAAACAGGAAGGAACAAGGGACAGTCACTGGGCCTTAGAGAAAATGCCTTAATTGATTCTAATTGAGAAACAAGGTTAAAGGACTCTAACTGGACAGCTCTGGGAGAAACACAGCCTTGGATTGTCTCAAAATAAAAGTAATTGCTACTTTTGTTGCTGCTTAAATCTAATATGGTAGCCATTGACTCTGTCAGAGATTTCTTCACCCATTAATGAACATTCCTGAGAAGCACAGCTCTGGGCCATGTACAAAGCAGTTGCTCAAAAACACGAGCTGAGTGCTCACATCAGAAACGAGGTTTTGGAGAGCATGTCGTTCATAGGCCCCACTGGGGAGGCTCACCCTGGCAAACCACACTCCCAGGGCCTTGAGGCACTTCCCTGCCTCTTCCTGCTAAAGGAACCTAGATGGTTCAGGTCTTGGGGACAGGAGTGTGTGGGCCCATCCGGGTGCTGCTTCTCCATGCTCAGGGCAACCTGTGGTCCTTCAGGACACCTATCTACCCTATGTTGGGAAAACACCTGAGCCTCAATGAAGAGCTCACAGAATGCCCCTGGGGCCATGTGCCCACTGGGCTTCTCTTGGCACTGGACTCTCGGGTAAGATTATAGCGTCAATGGTGGGGCCGGAGCCCAAGGGTGACCTACGAGTGCCATCATTTATTCATTCTTCATAAAGTCTTCATCCAGTTCACCCATGAGCCAGAAATGGTGCCAGACACAGAGGATATAAAAATAAAAAGAGCTTTCTATTATGAGGGAGAAAGACAGGACTAAAAAATGACAGTGATTTTGTGTTTGTGTTGCGATAACAGTGTGGGGAGGAAAGGAAGGGACCACAGCAGGTGGGCTCCGGGCTTGGGGATGGGATCCTGGAATCAGAGTGGACCAGCCTAACCACATCCTCCTCGGGGAGGGGTGCTGACTTTGCCTCACCTTCTCCTCAGAAACCCCACGACCCAGCCACTGTGGATGAAGTCCTGCGCCTGCTGGATGAAGACCACACGGGGACTGTGGAATTCAAGGAATTCTTAGTCTTAGTATTTAAAGTCGCACAGGCCTGTTTCAAGACATTGAGTGAGAGTCCTGAGGGAGTGTGTGGACCTCAAAAGTCTGGAAGCTTCCCCACTGGGGCCTCTCCAGAGCTGGGAGAAGCAGAGAAAAGTGTCACGGAAGTGGAAAGCTCTGGGGAAAAACAGCATCAGGAGGGGAGCAGTGGTAGACAGAGCAGGCAGGCTGCCAGAGGGCAGGGTAGGACTGGGGTACAGACCCACAGTCAGGACATCAGCTCTTCTCAGGTCAGTCACCACGACAGGCAGTATGAGTCTCAGAGACAGGACAAAGAGAGCCAGCAAACACAAGCAAGGGGAGGTGTGGAGCCAAGCCAGAGAGAGGGAAAAGATCAGAGGCCCCAGACCAGAGAAAGGGTGTCAGAGAGGCAGTCACAGACTGGGGGACAGACCAGAGCCCCCCAGGCAAGTGAGATCATTGCTGGAACCACAACTGAGACCCAGACAGGTGCCACTGAGACCAAGGGGCAGGACAGGAGACAGTCAACAGCAAACACCAGCACCCAGCCACAGGAGTCCACCCACAGCCAGAACAGGGGGACTGAGACCCACAGTCAAGACAGGAGCCAGACAGGACACACTGTTACAGGAGGACATGTTCAGACACAGGGAAGTGCCACCAAGACTGTGGAGCAGAACAGGAGCCAGCTGACGGAAAATACCAGCACCCAGCCACAGGAGTCCACCCACAGCCAGACCAAGGGGACTGAGACCCACAGTCAAGACAGGAGCCAGACAGGACACACTGTTACAGGAGGACATGTTCAGACACAGGGAAGTGCCACCAAGACTGTGGAGCAGAACAGGAGCCAGCTGACGGAAAATACCAGCACCCAGCCACAGGAGTCCACCCACAGCCAGACCAGGGGGACTGAGACCCACAGTCAAGACAGGAGCCAGACAGAACACAGTGTTACAGGAGGATGTGTTCAGACACAGGGAAGTGCCATCAAGACTGTGGAGCAGGACAGGAGCCAGCTGACAGAAAACACCAGCACCCAGCTACAGGAGTCCACCCACAGCCAGACCAAGGGGACTGAGACCCACAGTCAAGACAGGAGCCAGACAGGACACACTGTTACAGGAGGACATGTTCAGACACAGGGAAGTGCCACCAAGACTGTGGAGCAGGACAGGAGCCAGCTGACGGAAAATATCAGCACCCAGCCACAGGAGTCCACCCACAGCCAGACCAAGGGGACTGAGACCCACAGTCAAGCCAAGAGCCAGACAGGACACACTGTTACAGGAGGACATGTTCAGACACAGGGAAGTGCCACCAAGACTGTAGAACAGGACAGAAGTCAGCTGACAGAAAACACCAGCACCCAGCTACAGGAGTCCACCCACAGCCAGACCAAGGGGACTGAGACCCACAGTCAAGACAAGAGCCAGACAGAACACACTGTTACAGGAGGACATGTTCAGACACAGTCAGGGTCACATATCCAGGTCATGAATCAGGACACGAGCCAGACTTCAAGCCACATAGGGGCTAGAGAACAGAGACAGACCCAGATACAGCCAAGCTGTGGTCAAAGATGCACACAAGTGAGCAGCTATGAGGCAGAAGAGACCACACGAGGAGGACAGGCCCAGCCTGGCACAAGCACTATAAAAGGCAGACAGGACTACAGCAGTACTCACCCAAAGGGCAGTGTGACAGGAGGGCAGGGAGGGACAGAGCCCTTGGTAATTAATTGGGAGGAGTGGGATGATGACCACATGAGGGAGACAGTAATCGGAAGGCAGGCCCAGGGCAGCCTGCACACTGGCACCCCTTCAGTGCAGGGCCAGGAGGCAGCAGAGCCAGAGGGGAAGCGAGTCTTCACAGCCAAGAAGCTGTATTCCTACTTCAAAAGCAACAAGCCATGAGTGTCCAGCTCCAGAAGAAGACAGCTGGAGAGGCATTGGCTTGGCCTGCCCTGGCCAGTTCAGCTGGCATGTCCCTGGACATCAGAGCTTAACAGACATGGTGTTTCTCTCTAAGGTCTATCTCAATGAGGCCATTTCTGCAAGGTGCTTTCTATCCTAAATTTTCTCCCTTGCCTGCTTTGCTGTGCAGACCCTCTCAGAAGCAGAAGACACAGAGCAAGTCATCCCTTTCCTCAGTGTTCCTCAGCTTATGGGCTTTTTCAGAGCTACTTTTCTCTCTGCCATCTATCCACTGCCCCATCTATTCTAATGCATCAATAAAACCTGTGTATGCAACTGGGCTCTGTGTCCTATTCAATCACTATTGACGTGAGAGGCTAAGGGCCACAGGGCAGTGATGATGAACTGGATGTGGTCCCTAGCCTTGAAGACCATCTAGTTGGAAAAATATGGCATGAGATTCCAAGAGTCAAAAAGAGTCAAAGAGAGGAGATATCATACTTTTATACTTGGCAGAGATGTATCAGGGAAGGTTTCAAGCAGAAGGGGCATCTTCAGAATGTCCTTAAAGGACAAGTAGGGTTTAGGTCAGTTGAGCTGTGCTCAGTCTTTCATGACCTCTAAGTCTCTGTTCACTTGTAAGGTCACATAGGAAGACTGACTTAAGGTTACCAATAAGTGGAATAAGGCCACGGGGAGTGTGTAGGGGACAGGAAAGGTATGTGTTACCAGAGACTGAGCCAGGAGCCAGAGCCCCTGAGCTTCCCTCACCCACCTCCTCATCCGTGTTGGCCCCAACCTTTCATGATGTCTCACTCCCTGCATATGAACAAGTTGTGGAGTAGAACTTCTCAACTCCAGTTTATTATAAGAATCACCCTAGTTATAGTTTTTTAAAAATACAGATTTATAAACCTAACCCTACCGATGCTGAGCCCAAAGGTTTGAGTGGAGCCTATGCAAATGGTAAGGGGACTTTTGCTCCTGACAGGAGATATTTGAAGGGCCTCCCACAATAAAATCACTGGATTCTGCATAACACATATTTTTCATGGCACTGTTGGTTTATAGGAAAATGTCCACAGAGAAAGCAAAATGTATTAGGCTGGATAACACTCCTAAAGATGTCCAAGGTACCTGTGGATAGGTTACCTTATGTGGCAAAAGGGACTTGGCAAATGTAAGTCAAAGGGCTTGAGGATGAGGTCATTCTGGATTATTCTGAGTCTCTACACAGACCTATGACTATGGGCCCGATGCAGTCCAAGGGTCCCTGTAAGAAAGAAGATGAGATGATGGAACTCTAGGGCTTCGAACACTGCACAGTGAGCCAAGGAAGGCAGGTGGCCTCTCCAAGTTGGAAAAAGCAAGAAAACAATATTTCTCCTAGAGCTTCCAGAAGGAACTAACCCTTCCAACATCTGATTTTTAGACTCCTGACCTCCAGGGCAGAAAGGAAATAAATTTTTACTGTTTTAAGCCATTAAGTTCATGGCAATTTGTTACAGTGGCAATAGAAAACTAATACACAAAACAAAAACCCAGAGCGAGAGCCAGAATAATGAGGAAGCATGTGTGAAAGGGAAGGCTGCTCTTCTGTTGACAAAGTGATTTTATATCCATCCAAACTGACCTTTAGGTATAAAGACCAAAGAGAAACAGCAAAGAACTGGAAAGGACTCAGGGACTGTGGTTCCCATAATCCCTTCCTGGGCAATCTAGAAGAATGAGCATCAGAGCAAATGAACAAAAGAAACCAAACCAGAATTGTAGGAAAAACATTTCCCATACAGTATGATCAGGAGTATTTCAATATATTTAACTGTAGTACTAAGATGAAATAAAAGTAATAAAAATGAAAGAATAGCACTTAATATTACATGCTTTGAAATTCAAATATAATACAGCTGACAAAAAAGCAGAGGGAGAAGGGGAAAGCATGTGAAAAGTTGAGTCAGTCAACTGACTGTTTTACATAAGTATATATTTCTAAGTAAAAACTGGGAATAAAAGGATATCACTTCAAATTAGATACTGAAAAAGAAAAAGGGGAGGGTAAAAAGTTTCTTGAAATTTTTATTATTACTTACAATAGGGAATGAATAGACAATATTTTAAAAGGAAGAGACTTCCGCCAAGATGGAGGTTTAGGTGGATGTACCGTGCCTCCTCACACAACCAAGTTTAGGGACAACTAAATATTAGCATCAGAAAACACAACCAGAACACGGAAAACTGAACTTTTCGGAAGTCCACTAACAACAAATTCTTCAGCCCGACCGGTAAGGGGCGAAACCGGCGTCTGGTGAGGAGTTGCAAAGGAGGGCTCGGTCGGACCCGGGCGCGGAATCCAGACGCACGAATCCAGACGCACGGGTTCCAAACCCAGGATTGGACCTAGTGAGCGACCGAGCAACCCACCGGGTGAGCGACTGCAGAGGAGACAGTGGGGAGGCGGTGCAGCGTGTTGACTGCCGTTGCCTAATTGCGCACGAGCGAGGGAGTGGGCGGTTGGACCGGCCCCGGCGGCCATAGAGGGCGCCGCCATTTCCCCGCTCTGACCACGCCCCCACATACAGCGTCACAACCCAGCGACCTGGGAGTCCAAGGCGCAGTTTCTCACATTTAAAGGGCCAGAACAGACCAAAAATGTCACAGGGAGACCTCAAAGCCCCAGAGATAAATCTAAGCGACGAAGAAATAGCAAAACTCTCAGATGCACAGTTTAAAACACTGGTCATCAGCTTCCTCACAGATCTGGTTGATTATAGCCACAAATTAGAGAAACATATGAAGGCTAAATTAAGGGAAATGAATGGAATTCCACAGGAAACCCATAGAGATGAAAAGGAAACTGGGACTCAAATCAATGGAGTGGACCAGAAGAAACCAAATAATGGCCAAACAGAAAAGAGTCAAGGAGCAAGAATTCAAAGAAATGAGGAGAGTCTTAGGAACCTCCAGGACATCTTTAAACGCTCCAATATCCGAATTATAGGGGTACCAGAAGGGGGAAAGACACAACCACCAGTGGAAAAACTATTTGAACAAATAATAAAAGAAAATTTCCCCAATCTGGCAAAGGAAATAGACTTCCAAGAAATCCAAGAAGCCCAGAGAGTACCAAAAGAGTTGGACTCAAGAAGAAACACACCAAGGCATATCATAATTACATTAGCCAAAATTAAAATGAAGGAGAGAATCCTAGAAGCAGCAAGAGCTAAGGGGACAATCACCTACAAAGGAGTCCCCATCAGACTGTCAGCAGATTTCTCAAAAGAGACCTTACAGGCAAGAAGGGGCTGGAAAGAAATATTCCAAGTCATGAAATCTAAAGACCTACAACCAATATTGCTCTATCCAGCAAAACTTTCATTTAGAATGGAAGGACAGATAAGGTGCTTCTCAGATAAGACCAAATTCAAGGAGTTCATCATCACCAAGCCCTTATTATATGAAATGTTAAAGGGACTTATCTAAGGAAAAGAAGTTAAAGAAACATGAACAGTGAAAGAACAACAAGCTCACAGTTATTAACAACCACACCTAAAACGAAAGCAAACTAAAAGAACAGCTAGATCAGGAGTGGAAATATAGAAATGAAGATCTCAAGGAGGGTTAGCAACAGGGGAGTGGGAGGAGGAGATGGGGAGAGAAGGTACAGAAAATAAGTAGCATAGACAGTAGATAGAAAATAGATGGGGGGGGGGCAAGAATAGCATGGGAAATATAGAACCTAAAGGACTTGAGACACATGGACATAAACTAAAGGGGGGTAATGGTGGGGCTGGGGGGCAGGGTGGAGGGGAATGAAGGGGGGAATAGAACAACTGTAACAGCATAATCAATTTAAAAAAAATAAATTAAATAAAAATAAATAAATAAAAGGAAGAGAATGCATAAAGTAGTTATCATAAAATATTAGAATAAAAATACAAGCCTTTCTCAATACCAAAAGATATTCCATAAAAAGAGCAAATAAAACAGACAGCATAGTGAATGATGTTATCTATGTTGAAGACAAATATTTGCATAAATGTACCAGAAGTCTGTGGACATATTATTTGTATTATTAATGTAAAAAGCTTAATTCAGTATTAAAAGAACAAGTTTATGTATTAGCTTCTGTAAATCTATGTTCTTTACAAGAGATGTCCAAATCAAAGAAATTAAGAAAGTTATTTTGAAAGTAGTAAATGGATATGTAGCAGAAAAATACAGATTAAAACAAAATTTAAAAAATTTAAAATTTAAACCAAATTTAAAAAGTGTTATGATCCCACACAAGGTAGAATTCAGGTCTAAAAAGCATTAAACAAGACCAAGAAGGACACTCTAATATGACGAAGGTTATAATTTCACAATGAAAATATAACAATTTTTTAAAGATTTTATTCATTTATTTTTAGACAGAGGGGAAAAGAGAGAGAAAAAGAGGAAGAGAAACATTGATGTGTGAGAGATACATCAATCGGTTGCCTCTCACATGCCCCCAACTGAGAACCTGGCTTGCAACCCAGGCATGTACCCTGACCAGGAATCAAACCAGTGACCCTTTGGCTCACAGGCTGGTACTCAATCCACTGAGCCACCCCAGTCAGGGCAGATAGAACATTTTTTTAATATCAATGCATTCAATAATGTAGCACAGCTCTCATAAAGCAAAAGCTACAGGAAATGCAAAGACAAATTTTTTAATTAATTTTTATTAAATATTTTATTGCTTATGCTATTACAGTTGTCCCAAATTTCCCCTTTGCCCCCCTCCACCTAGCCCACCCCTCGTCCCAGTCAATCCCAACATGGTTGTCCATGTCCATGGGTCATTAATATATGTTCTTTGACTAATTTGTTTTTCACCTTCTTTCAACAAATCCCTCCCTCCCACCTCCCCTCTTATAGCTGTCAGTCTATTCTATGTTTCTATGCCTCTGATTCCATTTTGCTCATTAGTTTATTTTGTTCATGAGAATTATCTTACAAATGAGATCATATGATATTTGTCTTTCACCAACTGGCTTATTTCACTTAGCAAAGTATTTTCCAGTTCCATCCATGCTGTGATAAAAGGTAAGAATTCCTTCTTTTTTATTGCTTCATAGTATTCAACTGTGTAAATGTACCAGAACTTTTTTATCCACTAATGTACTGATGGGCTAAAAATAGCCTAGCCAAATTAGCACTTGGCTATTGTAAATGGTGCTGCTATGAACAAAGATGTGCATACATTCTTTTGAACTGATGTTTGGGATTCTAAAGATATATTCCCAGCAGTGGAATTGCTGGGTCAAAAGCCAGTTCCATTTTTTATTTTTTTTAGGAAATTCCATACAGTTTCAA